GATGATACTCAGTTAGTGTTTGGTTTCGATCCATCAAAGGTTGATGAAGTTTCTTTTAAAGTTAATTTAGATTTGGCTAACATCGGTGATTACTGTAACAAACACTGCTTGAAGATCAATCCTAATAAAACTACTGCAATGTTGTACTGTTCGAAGAACTCCTACCGTGAAATGAAGCAGAGGATTTGTGTTTTTTTGGATGAGACACTCATCCCTTTTGTGGATTACGCAAAGAATCTCGGTGTTACTCTTGACTTAAATATGAGATTCGATCGGCATGTCTCTTTCTTATCTAGAGTAACGTATTTGCGTTTGAAACTCCTCTATTCTAATCGATACATCTTGAATTTTAAAACCCGAAAAAAGCTCGCTGAAAGTCTTGTGTTGTCTGTCATTTCTTACTCTCTTGTTCTTTACTACCCATGTTTAGACTACGTCCACAAAAGGAAACTCCAGAAAAGAAAATTCAGAACAGCTGTTGTAGGTTTATTTTTGGATTGCGCAAGTTTAGTCGCGTCTCAGATAAAATCAAAGAACTCAACCGGTTGCGAATTGATAAGTTATTTTTATATCTTTTGACCGTCTTCACGCATAAAGTTCTATTATCTAACAGACCAGCTTACCTCGCTAGCAAATTAGTTCGCCGAGGTAGTTTTGTTACCAGAGCTCTTAGATTTAATGCTAATTTTAACATGCCTCCTCACAATACCTCGGTCTTTGAAAGAAGTTACACCTATAATGCTGTCAAGCATTACAATGCAGTCAACAGTGGCTATCGATCCAAACAGGTTGTTTCTTTTAAGAAATTAATGAAGAGTCAGCTGCCGGAGTCCATTTAGTTCAGTTTTTCTTGTGTTCATGTGATTATTTTTTTTTGTTTGACTATTTTCTACTATTTTTGTTTCAAATTCAAAACTCTCGCAATACTATCTGCATTTGTCTCGTGCAATCAATGTTGTCATTCTTATGAATTGTATTTTTTTTTGGTATGTTATTATTTTCTGGCTAAACATCGCCTCACTGCAGCTAATAAAGGCATTATTATTTTTATAGCCGTAGGGCTTTGTTACTCCCGTTAATCGGGGTGTTCTGGCTTAACCCGGACGTTTCAAGCATCAAAGGGGTAAGCCTCAATAGTGACCTCCCTAGGTACTTGCATTTCCCATAAATTTTCTTACTATGCGGGCAGTTGCCAGCAAAACTCCTTTCTGTATGAAACATTATTATTATTATTATTATTATTATTATTATTATTATTATTATTATTATTATTATTATTTAACGAACAACTTCGATTAAAACGGAGAAATTATTGTATTCGTCTGCATACAAAATATTTATTTTACATTGTACGTTAAAGTGATGCCTACTAAGTAGAAATTCTGAGTGCTTTCATCAAAACATGAACATCACTATTAAAAAACCAAAATCTATGAATTTCTTAGTCATTCGTACGTCAATCGCTTTCATACACCACAAAGTATGTTGCGGTAACTTTTTTTAAATTTTTCTCGCGGTAATAAAAATCGATAAAGCACTAGTCCTCCCAGCACAGGATAAGTTTCACGTGATACAGTACAAATATAATTTTTAATTCGTTTCAGTGAGCTGAATCGGACATCCCAAGGAAGGCATCGCCTCGAAGACAATTCGTATAGTACATTTAAAACCACCTCGAAAAGTCGTTTAGATATTCGTATGCTGAAGCGTTCCGAGGAGGAACGTAGACGTAAGCTCGTTACATGTATTCATTGTAATACGACATTCAGAAGAAATAGAACTTTGGATGACCATATAATCAAGAAACATCCCGAATTTATGTCCACAGTTTCAAAAAAAATATACGAATGTACACATTGTACATATAAAACCGTTTTAAAAAGCACGATAAATCAACACATGTTGACGCACTCCGAGGAGAAACGTAACTGTAAGCTCAGTGTGTGTATTCACTGCAATGAGACATTCAGACATCGACAAACTCTGTACAATCATATAATTAAGAAACATCCCGACTTCCTGTCTTCGGTTTCCTTTAAAATACATGAATGTATACACTGTGCACATAAAACCGCCTCAAAGAGCCATTTAGCTACGCACATGCTGAAGCATTCCAAGGGCGAACGTAGCTATAAGCTCAGGACATGTATTCATTGTAATGCGATATTCAAAAGTAATCGAAGTTTGGATGATCATATGATAAAAAAACATCCCGACCGTCTGGCATCTGTTCCTAGTAAAATATACGAATGTACACATTGTGCATACAAAACCGTTATAAAAAGTGGTTTATATAGACACATGATGAAGCATTCTAAGAGAGAACGTAGCCATAAACTCACTACGTGTATTCACTGTAACGCCCTATTCAGAAGTAGTCGGAGTTTAGACGATCACATCATTAAAAAACATCCCGAATTTCTGACAGCTGTGTCTAGTAAAATACACGAATGTACACACTGTACCTATAAAACCAACTCAAAAATCTGTCTACATAGACACATGCTGAAGCATCCGGAGAAAGAATACAGCCATAAGCACAGTACATGTATTCATTGTACTGCGGTATTCACAAATAATCGAAGTTTAGATGATCATATAATAAGAGTACATCCCGAATTTCTGGCATATGTTTCTAGTAAAGTACACGAATGCACGCACTGCACATATAAAACAGCCATGAGAAGTGGATTACGTAGACACCTGCTGAAGCATTCGGAGGGAGAACGCAGCCATAAGCTTGTCACATGTGTGCATTGTAGTGCAAATTTCAGCAATAATCGGATTTTAGGGGATCATATAATTAGGAAACACCCCGCCTTTATATCATCAGTTTCTAGTAAAATACATAATTGTACGCAATGTGAATATAAAACTACCTTGAAAGGTGATTTCGTTAAACATATGTTAAGGCACCAGGAGGCAGATGGAAGCCAGATTTAAATGTTAAAAGACAACTTACCGTCATTGCAACATCTTCTAATAAAGTACAGGTTGCGGCGGGACGAACTGAGCAGTTTCTATTATACGGTGGGATTCAAATTTGTCTGACGACTTGAGTGCAATGTATACCAGAGAGAAATATGTATAAATACATACACTACGGCTCAAAAGTATAGTGGACGTCCGGTAATCCGACAAACATTATGCAAGGCAGTGTCGGACTATCGAATTTGTCGGATTATAGAGCCCCTATACTCCGGATTTTTTTACTAAAGAGTACCTTGTAATCCGACAAATTACATATCCAATGGTAAGATTATATATGTTATGTATACATATATATACAGGGTGACTTCGAAGTTGAGTCATTTATTTTAACAGTGAGTAGATCTGATCAAAAGAAATGTTTTTCTCCTTTACCATTTTTCTGGTAAAATTAAAGTAACAAAGTTATAGCCCTTTGGAAGTTTGAGTACCGCCCTGTCTCAATAATAATATTATGTGCTCGTGTTTGGCAACAACGGATATAATCCGCCTTATCGGTTCATCGCATCGGAAACAAAAAAGCGAAAGAATTTGGAACGATGTTTTTACAATTTCATTCAGTTGTATTCAGTCAGTGTCTGTCGGTAACGCGTGAGTGAATAGTGGTGTTTATTGCGTGGCTCAAACGAAATAAAAAATGACACATGTTTACGAAAATGCTGAAGTTGTGGACATGATTCTTATTTACGCGGCATCACAGATTTATGCGGATCGGTTTCCCAATCGAGTGCAACCAACCCCTCGTGCCTTTGTTAATGTAGTACGAAGGGCTCGTGAATCAGGTGACTTAAGACCTCACAGGGGAGGGCATGCCGGTGCTCCAAGACCGCACGATCAAATACAGGTCCGCACTGAAATACTTGTCGGCAGGATACTTTATAAAACAAGGTAACTTTTTTTTTTAATTTTTTTCTATTTTTACACACATATTTTGGCTTATCTTCCTTCTACAATCATTATCTGAAAATTAATGACTCAACTTCAAAGTCACCCTGTATATATATATATATGTACTTTGAGGTACAAATCATACATAGTTTATGTATGTCGAATTTAGTAAATTAAATAACAATAGAGAGCTTACGTTTTATTATAAAATTAAGCATAAATGCACATACATATGTACCAAAATAATCAAGAATTATTAATCAAAATCATTAATGAATTTATCAAATTATGAATCTTGGAAATATTCATCAATTTTTTTGTTGTTTAAGGTTGTTATAACGCGAGATCAGAGCTTTGTCCTCAGTCTTCTCAAAAGTAAAAGTTCGTTATAGGATGTACCATTCTCTTCAATCCATTGTAAACCTAGCTCAAAGGCGCTAATTGCGTCTTGTGCTGTGACTTGTAGAGCAGTTGCAATCACGTCGTCGTTATTTTCCTGATTGTTTGTTGTATAATTAGAAACCTCTTTTATAATCTCTTCGTCAGACATTTCATGAAAAACATTTTCCTCTTTATACATTCCACGGCACCAGACTTCCAAATCATCCGGACTTATCTGTGTTTCAGTAGCGACTTGTTCTATAACTTCCGAAGTAACACTGATTTGTGGAACGTTGCTAAGAGTGGTGACTATATCAAAGAGCAAAAACCAAGTCTTTCATATTAAATTCTTTTAAAGCTTTTTCTATTGGTTGGTCTTTTGATACGGCTCTCAGAAGTAGGTTTTTCTTATAGTCTTGCTTGACAAACTGAATGATATTTTGGTCCATTGGTTGAATCAGTGCAGTGCAATTTGGCGGAAGAAACATCGCAGTGATGCATTTATCCTCAGTTGTTAGTTCTTCTTCAGACGGATGACCGGGAGCGTTATCAAGAAGCAACAACGCTTTTTGAGCACATGGTAGTATGGTTACACGCTCTTTACTTACTTTTCGTCCAGGTACGGATTTTTCGTTACAAGAAACGAAGGTTTTGTTAGGCATCACACCCCAAATAAGCCCTGATTCGTCTGTATTGTACACCTGTGACGGGTCAAGATTTAAATCGTTCACCTTTTGCAAAAATCTTAATTTAAAGGACTCTATGCAGGTGGCATCGTTAGAAAGTTTCTCACCTGTAGTAGTCATTAAACGTATGCCATAACGACTTTTAAAACGTTCTAGCCATCATTTGCTGGCCACAAAATCATCTTATTTTGTTATTTCCTCATAAAAAGACTTAGCTTTCATGGCCAACATGGGTCCTCAAATTTGTGCATGCCTATTTCTTTCCTGAAGAAACCACATGTACAAAGCTTCTTCCACTTCTGGATGTTCAGCTTTCTTGAGTGTCTGTCTCTTGCCTGGCCCACAGTCAGTAGTTGACATGAACTTCTTAATCTTCGCGTGGTTTCTTTTAATGTCATCAATTGTAGATCGGCCTACGCCGTATTCATTTGCTAAACTACTGAAAGTTTCATTGCGATTTAAGCGGTCTAAAATATCACATTTTTCTTTAAGTGTCAATGTTTTGTGCTTTCGCTTCTGAGTTTGTGACGACATTACTAGGTACTATACTTAATACACGATGAATAAATATTAAACATGAACGCACGCTAGGTCGTACCAGTAGTCAGATTCAAACTAAGTAAAACAATGCTTACGCGTCGAGCACGATAGCGGTGGCGCGTACAAGTTGTAACCTGTTCAAACCTACGTGATCTACATTAGCGAAAATTGTCAATTACGTACGTTGTTGTAATACATATTCAAAGACATGTCGGATTACAGGGGGCGCCGGATTAGACAGGGGCCAACACCAAATTTTCATAGTTATTGTCAAAACTAAACTTTCTGAGTAATTCATCACCAAGTGATTCAATTCGCGAAACAGATAAACCTTCGATTGCGCAATAATCCGCGACTTTAAAACATAAAATCGATCCGTTTCAAAGTTTTTTATAAGTAGCCACATTAATCGAATAGTATCTAATGTAATTGTTTTCAGAACCGCCTTTAGTAATTTGCTTGTATATCAAATTTTCACATTCTTCTTCTGTATTCATGTTTAGCTAAAATGTATACCATATGACAGTCATTTAGATTATTTTTATGTTTATGTTAAATAAAATTATGATGCTAGTATGTGTCTTTGTTTATTTCTGCTGCGTGGAGAACAACCAGTGAGATGTGGTAGCATATACGAGCCCTGTCTCAGTGAAGTTGGCCTAAAGCCCCAAAACATGATATTTGTGAATTTATTTGATGGCCAGTTAAAATTTTATTTCAAATATACTATTTTGGGTTTCTTTAAATGTTTATGTAAAGATAACAAAACCGACGCGGCTATTTTTGAAGCGTTTTCAAGAGCAACTTGTCACAGAGCTGCCCAAAAACTGGGATTTAACACTTACAAGGTAGGCTTAAATTATTTTTTTGAGTCGTTTTTAATTCAGTATTTCTGGCAAAAGAGAAGCCCTTATTGACAAAGATTCAGAAGAAAAGTTACGTTTTACACTAGATGATACTATGCCAAGACGTATTGAAGCAGTAATCAGTCGAAAAGGCGATGTAACGCAGTGGTGATTTGCTATTTAATTTCATTGATTTTTATTAATCGTCAGTTTTTTTGAACCTGTAGGATATTATTTCTTTGTTAAAAAATGTAATATTTTAGGCTAATATTAAATAAAAATATCGTACGTTATCGTGGCTTCTATGACAAGCTTAAAGAAACTTTGTTACTCCGATTTTTTAACTGCCTAAGGTTAGTAGAAATGCCTTGTTCCACAATCTCGATTCCTATGGGCAAAGGAGCGGTCGTATCGGCCAGTTCTAGGTAGAAAACTGATTTAGAATTTTTTATTTTTTGTACCAGCTGATGAAGAAATGTTTTTTCTACTTGACCCTACAGTTGTATCTTTCTATCATGTGTTATAGTACGATGAACAAATAATTTTGTTCAATATGCATTGTTTTCTCTGAAACTTGTGACAAATAAAGTCTTTGTGTTGTGTATTTATAATACACTCGTATTCATATTACAAAAACTACCAAGTAATATGAAGACTAATTGAATTGATATCAGATTGCTAATATCTAATACTTAACTTGAGCTTGACTTGATGCCAAGTCGCTTGGAAATCAAGTAGTGAATCCCTAATCCAAACAGCTGTTTAAATAAATGATAAAAAACTGGTTATCGTCAGTCAGTATCGTCAGTCGTTTCTACAATTGTAGGACGCCCTTATGGCCTCCTTGATTTTCATAGTTTTTTCTGCCCTTTTGAAAGGCCGTGATATTTCCAGATTTCTTCTGTTCCGTGTTAACGACAGCGCTCTCCTATTGCGAGGCTATTATCTTCTTTTTGAAATGTCACGCTATAACGGATGATATAAATCAAAAGTATGAGCAATTTGTAACATAACCTCAAAATAGAGCGCTGACACGGAACAGTAGAAAACTTTGAAAATCAAGGATGCCATGAAGGCGTCCTACATTTGTTGAAGGATCATCTGACGATACGACCCTTGGGAAAATTCCTGGTAACTTTTCTCTTTGAAGTTTGAATTTTTGATTTATATGCCATTTCGGATGGTATAACAGTCTCAATGCTGAAGCTTTGCTTGCCTCGAGTATTACTACCCCTGACGCATTTATTGAACTGTTGCCTGGAGGCTGGGTATTTCCCTGATGCTTGGAAACTATCTCTTGTCAAACCCTTGCCTAAATGTAAAAATCCAAAATGTCTCTCAGACTTAAGACCTATAACTTTGATTCCTGTTATATCGAAGATATTGGAGAAATTGATTAAACATCAGGTTTATCATTATTTCTCTAATAATGATTTCTTTCCCAAGTGTCAATCTGGTTTCCGCAGTGGTTTTAGTACAACTTCAGCTTTAGCAAGGGTTTTAGATGACATCATTGCTTCGCTTGATAAGGGAGATGCTTCAGCACTTGTATCATTAGATTATTCTAAGGCGTTCGATAAAATAGATCATGAGCTTTTATGTGCTAAATTGAAGTTTTTTGGTTTTTCAGACATACCTCTAATGTTTTTTATAACATATCTTTCAAATCGTAAACAAGTAGTAGAGATAGACAACACTATATCTAGTCCGATTGATATAACATCAGGTGTCCCTCAGGGTTCAGTTTTAGGGCCCTTGTTGTACTTAATTTATACTATAGACTTGGGTAGCTCTGTGAAAAACTCTTCTGTGATGTGCTATGCCGATGATACACAGATATATAAAAGCTTTAATAGTAACACTTTGCATACTTCAATCAATGAGCTTAATGATGATTTGGAGGCAATAGTAGGATACTCAAATGGTAATAATCTTAAGCTCAATAAGGATAAGTGCTCAGTGATGCTTTTTTGTCCTGCTGTCAAACGTAACACTGTATTGAATTCTCTTGATGTAAAAATCGACAAGGAGCGTCTAGCTGTCGTAAATACTACAAAAAATTTAGGGTTGATTATTGATTATACTTTACGGTTTAAGGAGCATGTCTCGTCTATCTTAAAAAAATGTTATGCAACGTTGAAGTGTTTTTATGTCAATCGCTCTATTTTGAATTTTAAAGTTAGAAAAAAGTTATGTGAGGCTATTATATTTCCAAGCTTATTTTACTGTAGCACTGTGTTCTATCATTGTCTTGATTCTATCACAAAAGCAAGACTCCAAAAACTCCAAAATACTTGTTGTCGATTTGTATTTAATCTCAAGAAGTATGATCATGTTTCCTTAAAGAGATTTCAGCTTGGTTGGATGTGTATAGAAAATGCTTGCAAGTACCATCTAGCAGTGTTTACACATAAGATCATATCTTCTAGATCCCCCTTGTATCTTTATGAGAAATTTGTTTTCAGACGAAATAATTCAGACATTGATTTCAGACACAAAAAAAGACTAGAGATCCCTATGTATAAAACAACTTTATTTCGTAGTTCATACACTTACAATGCTATCCTGATTTATAACGAATTAGATGACAATATAAAGGATTGGCCAGTAAACAGATTTCGTAAGCATGTGAAACAGATTTATTTGTCATTATAGTAATTTTGGAAAAGTTAGTTTTTAATTCTTACATTTAATTTTAGTTTACGTAATATATGTGTGTATATATGTATGCTAGGAAGCTATCAAGCTCGTTGTTTTGAAGCGTCTTTTGCTTATCAAAGTTTCTTTTGATTGAGTGTTTCAATTGAGTATTTGGGTAGGTTAAGTAGAGTAGCCAAGAGCTAGACTTCGCCTACGTAGAGGTCACATTATGTGGTAGTGTATAATGTGCCTAATAAAGACATTTTATTATTATTATTATTATTATTATTTAAAGTCTGAAACATCTAAAAGCGACTTGCTTCAAAGCTCGGTTGAAAGTTATTATTTTGTTGCCAAGTACACTCAGTTCTTTTAAATTTAACGACCTATGATGCCATTAGTAACAAATAGCAATGATTTAAAATAAACGAGCTTTAGTTTCCCCAAGAGAGATTGTACACTGTCAAGTTTATCCTTAACCCAGTTGCTACTCGCTCTTGTACGTATACATGGAATGGACGAAGGAAGGCTGTTGTTTGCATTCATTATCCCGAAATAGCTACTCCGATAAGACTGTCTACACTGTAGCTGTATAATCAAGCATTTTATATCGATCTACAATTAAGCCCTTTCATTCTTCCTCTCATACACCCTTCTCAATCCGCTCAAGATGTAATGTACTGTTAAGGAGTCAAGGCACTGCAATATAAATCACTTAATTATCAAAGCAAGCTCGCATACATTTCAATTTTCAAGGTTGGACAGCATTATTTCTTACGAATAGGGAATTTTCTGTTCATCTGGCAACACAGCAGTGAGATTGTTTCCGCCCCCTGTCACCTGTCAACTCAGTGACGGGCTCGAATGATGGTGTTAGGTTATGTTACGGTTTGAATTGTTTATAAACTCACCATATTCTTTGAATTTGATCAACAAACACCGGTCTATTTTTCGCTCACAATTGTCTCGTAATAATGGAAGGTGCATAATGTGGAATGGAGTGAAGATGGAACCCACGGAGCTTGGTGCTGGAGAAGTCAAAACAGAAGCAACAGAGGATGACTCAAATATATGTGGAACCGATTTGAACTATAAAGACTTCAAAGTCGAGTTGGGAAATGGAGAAATTAAAGTAGAAACAACTGAAAATTACTCTAGTATGGGTCGTGCTGATTTGCATTATAAAGACGGTGCAGAAGTTAAAGCAGAAGCGATCGAAGTTGATTCAGTTATGTGTAGTGCTGATTTTGAGTATAAAGACGTTAAAGTCGAGTTTGACGACGGAGATTTTGAGGCAAAGACAACTGAAGATGTATCAAATGTGTGCGGTGCTGATTTTGGCTATAAAGACGTTAAGGTCGAGCTTGATGATGGAACAGTTAAAGCAGAGGATGACTCGAATGTGTGCAGTGCCGAATATAAGAATTTCCACATTATGCATGAAGATTTAGAGATCAAGGATGACGATGGGGAATCCAGTGAAGCTGTAAAAAGGTACATTTTTTATTTCAAAGCACTAGCACAATTCATTTTTCACTAGTCTGATGGAGATGAAACAAATACTATATCCAAAGTATTGCATAGTTACTCTAGCATTGGGCATTATTCATTCAAAGACTACCAAAGTAATAATAAGTAAGACAAATTGTAATAAACTGCAATAGCACACAAAGCGCACAACTAACTTAATAACAATTCATTTATAGAGTGTACCTAAAGTAAACCAAATAGTAGCAAGCCAATAAATAAAAAGCAATTTCATATTTATTAATCAAGACGACAATGAGATTGGAGTGAACTAACAACCAACTAAGAACAGTGTCCTAAACCTGCCAGCGCACAAAAATTAATTAATTGCTGGTCTGTCTGTAGCTTATTGTATGAGCTCTAAGCTGAGGATTTTCTTGCAATAAGTAGTTCGTTTTTGCGAGTGGTTGTTGCAGTCCATATGAACGAAACAACCTTCTCGCGTAACGGAATGAAGGGGTGAATAACTTCCAAAATACTTATGTGTGGACATTGGAAAATCCTCACGTAGTCTGTCGGTTACATTTTCAGCAAAAATTTTCTTTGAATATTTGGCTGGCATGGTAAATGGTATTCTCGTCGGACCTTTTATTTTCCCATATCGGCCGTACGCTTTACAATACCTAGATTTTCTATGAATATTTTACAAACGGCGGCAACTTAGAACAGTACTTATACCTAAGTGAGAGAGACATACTTGAAATGTCTCTGGAAATGAAGGGTGAGTATACTTTATCTGAAGTCACTTGAAATAGCATAAAAACCTTTGGTCGGCGCGTCCTTTGTAATTTCATGACGTATCATAGGCGTGCGGTCATTTACGAGTATTTAAAACGATAATAATAATGTTTTTATATCACAATAAATGGATTTTACTATCTTCTTATTTTTTTGATTTGGGATAAAAAATACTTATATTGGGAGTTTAATTTATGTTGACTGAAAGTTAAGAAATGGAAAAATTACAGAATTCCAACGTTTGACACAGGCAAATATTTACATAGCAGGTAGGTATATAAAAAGGTATATAAAGACTTACATTATAGGTATTTATATATCATCCTCGCCTTCGGAGCTGTCGCTAGAGTCATCTTGTAGAGGAATTACAACGGGATTTACAGGAGGCAAAACACAATATTCATTTTCTTTTTCAATAATATGCCTAGAACACTGCTTCCATAGGACTGTGGCAGCAATATGAGATACTGCATCTCTTATTGTGGCCAATAGCGATTCACTTAATTGAGGGGTCTGATTATGTTTTCTTACTTTTTTTTTTAAAGCAGCCCAGACCAACTCAATCGGGTTAAAAATGCAGTAATAGGGAGGTAGACGTAATACTTCATGGCCATTTTGCTGAAGCAGATTGTCAACAACATACTCTTTTTCAAATTTCGCTTTGGTTGATTTTTGTGGTATTTCCATTCCCTTATCCTTCATAAAATTAATAATGTCTTGTTTTTTTGTGCCTGTATTCGGAATTTTGTTTTTCTGTCGGGAATGGTATGGCGCATTGTCCATAATAATCACTGAATTTGGGGAAATGTTTGGTATTAACTGCTGCTCTATCCATTTTTCAAATAAGTCGGAGGTCATGTCCTCATGATAGTCGGCACATGATTCTTTGATATTTTTGGCAGATAACAGCAAGGCATTAGGTATAAATCCATTTTCACTGCCAGCATGGAGAATAATGATTCGTTTTCCACGGTTGCATGGTGCATTTAAAATGCACTTGTTGCTGTCGTCAACCCAGCCGTACTGCACAACATCATGGGTATCATACCACGTTTCATCCAGGTGAATCAGATTTCTTTTCTGCTCTCTATAGATTTTAACTTTGTGCAAAAATTCTTGGCGCAATTCAACGATTCGAGAGGACATTCATAATCACCATTCTTGTATCTAATTCTTTGTATTGAAAACCACACAGTTTTACAATACAGTGCAGTGAGTCTAAGCATTTATAATTATAAAAATCTTCAGGATAATCTTTTAATTTATCCCGTATCATTTCCAACGTGGGCACCAAATTTTCTTTATAAAATCCGTATATTATACGACGAATATCTTCCTGAAAACCCACGTCTATTCTTTTTAATTTTTGCCCTATGCGCTTTCTGTGGAAGGAATGGTTGACTACTACTTTTTATAACCCGATAAATGGTAGACCGACTGTTTTTTGTCTGGATACAAATTCTGTTTAAAATTTGATTTTGCGAGGAATCTGGATTTTCGTTTTTCAGACAATCATACATATTTAGGATTACTCTTTGGGTCTGTTCCTCTAAATCTTTATGAAAGAATTCTGCCTGCACAGGTTCATCAACCATCTCCTCGTGGCTTGGAGCATTTTCCCAAGGTCTCCAAAGAGCCATATTTAGGACACGCAAGAACAATCAACACAACAATTAAATCAACAAGTAAACTGAGTATTCAAAAGTCAGAAACACACAAACTAATAAAATCTATGAAAAAACACGGACAGACTAAAGAAAACACGTTTATTCACCGCTACACGGCACTGGCTAAACTGTTTCAATTTTCAGTAGCCACCTGCACTTGTTCGGAGCTCTGAAATACATGCTTTCTCATTGGCTATGTCCACGCATAGGCGTGCTTTACTCCACGTGGACCGGTGAAACTGCCTTTGATCTTATACGGGGGGATATTTGCTGCGAAATTTTGGCGATTTTTGCAGCAACAGAGCTTGTTAAATATAGATATACAAAACGCACCCGGTATTTCACAGTGTTTCAAGTGACTTCAGATAAAGTATAGTTTTTCATTTATTTTCTTTTTATTTTTTCGCTACTGTTCCACCACACATCAGCTTTGTTATGTCAAGTGCAGTCGTTTCTGAAAACGGCAGTCTCAAGTTTCTCAATCTGCCTCTATCCGCGGAGATACGCTCATAGTCATACGTTTTTTGTTTTGTCTCATAGTCTTGAAAAATTTCTCGTCAATGTATTACTTCCACATTTATGCTTCTCATTATCAGTACTCTGAGAAAAAAGTTTAACAACCACAAACGAAATTTTGAATTTGGCAACTGAACTGTAGAATTTCTATTTTTTTGGCAAGTAAATATATCGCTCCTAGATTGGGGCATGTTTAGTTAGTCATTAAGAGCCATTTCTGGAAAGTTGAACGGGTTATCTCTCTCTTCTGGTTTAACCAGAAGTGATCTTGACTTTCGTTTTTCAAATGGAAGCCTATATATTTTATTCCGTAATCATAGTCTATGCAAAGTTACTTTTCCAACGATTGTTACAAGTGACATTTTCGTCTTGAAATAGCGGCACCATAAAGGAATTTGCGAATAACCTAAAATCCGCCATATTGCTTACAAGATAAAATATATTTTAAACTTTCAAGCCGTCTATTAAACGGGATAATAAATGAAAGCTTGTAATTATGTGTTTTATTTGAAAAAAAATTGGGAATCCTCATCAACACAGGATTTCTGATTTTAAATAGGACCCTGTATACCTTTTTCAGAAATCTTATTCTACGTAAGGTTTTCTATTCAATGATTTATTACTTTTGTTGTCAAATGACAGCTGCATAAAAGAATTTGTGAATTAACCTCCATAAGTTGTTACAAAACCAAAAGTAATTATTGGTTCTAAATGAAAACGCATTTCCAATGATGTTCTGCAAGCTATAGTCAACGCCAAACAAAGTGGCGTGCACGTCATCAAGGTGGTTGTGTTGAAAAATTTACATTGTTGCCAAACTTTTTGTAAAATAATAAAATTTATTATTTACATATCTAGGTTTATAAGCAATATTAACCTCAAATGAGAACAAAAATAATAGTATAATAAAATTATAGATCTGTACTTGCATAATCATTAAGTATGACAATTATTGATCAGATGACACTATGAAACTACCATATTTAATTGATAGCTTAAAGGTACTGAATAAAAATCCAAATGGGGTCCTCCAAATTTTATGCATGGTATTTATTTTACAGAATTCATACAGAAAAATGCATTCTAAAATTAGGTAAGCTACTGGTGTAAGCTTTTTCTGTACAATAAAGTTAGTCGGAGTTACTTTCTTCAGCGCTGTCTGAATCTGAATCTTCATCACTCTCAAAGTTGATTATTAAAGGTTCGATGTCTGGTCGATCAAAAATTCGTTCTCTTTCATACCATTTAAAAATTTCTTGCTCAGTATGTCGAACACTATTTTTCCACATGTCTGGGGTAACCGTTTGTAGAGCCTCGTTCCACATATCCAAACAGTCTTTTTCACTGTTACCATCTCAACCAATATGTCTGTTATAGTAACCTTTTGCTATGCCCCAAATTAACTCAATAGGGTTAAATATACAATGGTAAGGAGGCAGCCGAAGAACTTTGTGCCCATGTTGTTCCGCCAATTCATCAATCACGTATATTTTAGGTGGTTTGTTTCTAAAAAAGCAGTTATTTTAAGAATAGGAATAAACAAAAGAAATATAAACTGTCGACCAAAATATATATAATTAAGAAGCATTATGTACCGAGCAACAATACTCAATAGCTCTGTTTTAAACATTGTGTTTAAAAATGGTATGTTTTGATTTGTCAACCAGTCTTGGATATTTTTTTTTGTCCATGCATTGTTGGGCACTTTGTTCAATATCATGCTGTGATAAGGGGCGTTATCCAGTATAATCATAGATGGACTCTCCAATTTTTCTAATAACTGATGTTGAAACCATTTCAAAAAATTGTCCTGGTTCATCTCTCCATGGTAATCGCTCAATTTTGTTTTCGAAGAAAATATCGCTTCACTACCCTCAATAAACCCATTTTCATTTCCAGCATGTAATATAATGTATCTAAAATATATTAGTTTTTGTAAAAGTACATACGTTTTACCATCTGTTTTAATAGCTTTCACGCTTTTTTGGTTTCCATTTTGCCAAGAGCGACCTATGGTCCCATTTTGAAATATCCAAGTTTCATCGA